TTTTCCTTCTTACAGTTACTTCTGAGAACGGGACTGAGTTCTGGAACTTGCTTCACATGTTGAAGGTAGGCGTTTAGGTCATTTCTTGGAAGCGTACTAAACCTCAGTGCGTTACCACAACAGTCCGTGTCTGGGTAGAAGCCCTTGGGTTGGTACATCTTGTCCTTCTGACTTTTTGTGGGACATGGACAAATTAAAAAAAAATGTAAAAGGCTACTAGTGCATACTCGCAGAAAGAACTTAAATGCAGTATTTTTTCATCTTTTTTCCTGACAAACCTCTACTTCAGGTGGAGCACTTTCAGGTTCCTCTGTTCTGCTACTGCAGTAAGTTTTGTAAGCAATATTAAACACTTCTGATTAATTTTTTTATTTCATTTCCTCAGACTGCTTTTCTCAGCTCCCAGAGTGCATCCTTCTAAGGACAGCTGTCAGAACAAGACACTTCTGTTGAGAGCTTACGCTTTTATGTATACTAGAGTGTCTGAGATTATCAAAACAGGCTCTGGTTCTTCAGCAGTCTGACACAAAACACTACTAAAAAAATGCTTGTGTCACAGATGGGCAGGATAATGAGATTGTGTCTTAGGCGTAATGAAGAAAGAAATAAAAAGATTGATTTCAATAATCCAAGCAAAAAATTAATGCTAAAACCTGAAGTGTTCTTGAAGTCCTTCTAAACTAACTTTCAGTAACCGCAGCAGTGGAATGCTTTGCCCTGCTTGCCAAGACAAGATCTGGCTTCCTTGTGCCTCATGTTCTAGCTGGTAACACAGCAGACAAAAAGCAAAAATAAACTTGAGCACAATGTGACTTTTTTAACTGGTTTCTGCTGTGTTTGTGTGCTAGCGTGGTGGCAAAGGAACTTGACCTGCAAGGCGGTGAGCTGCTAGGGAGCGCAGGTACCGATATATCCCAACAGCTCTGTGTGTCACTGTCCTTTCTTGGGTGATGTGGTGCCCACGACCCTCTCCAGTGCCGGTGTTCTTAAAACAAGTGATGAGAGAAGCTGTGGCTACACGTAGACAGTATTGTGAAACTCTTTCTGAGGCTTTGCAGTGACTAATAGCTTGACAAAATCTGGCAGTGCTAAATGGTGGAAAATGTCCTCATTAAATGGGCATTATGAGGGCCAAAGGTGCCATTAACCAAGCGGATAGCTGCTGGCTGCAAAATGAGCCATTTAATTGGGAAAAGTCACTGCCTACCAGCAGTGGCTTTGGAAAAGAATGCTAATAAGCTTGTTGGGGATCTGGTTATGGAAAGAGATGTGACTCTCCTATTTAAATTTCCTGACTTCTTTTAACCCCGAAGTACATATTTGAGTTTTTTCTTCAGACTTTACTCACATGAAGGGTCCTGTAGGGGTAGTGAGTGCCTAACGAGTCTCCCTTTACAACTTTACTGTGTGAGGCGTAGGATAGCTCTTAAAATTTTCCTACTAGCATTTGCTGCTAACCATCTTCCCAAGACTGAGCAGCGATCCCAGGCTATGCATATTGCTTTACTGAAAGAATTGCCTGGCTTTCAGCTGTGGAAAAGATTAATACTTTGTATTAAAGTGGAGTGGTTTTGAGAGAAATTAAAAGTCTTTCTGCACATTATCTTAGCCCTTCACCATTTAGAACTGGTTTATGTTCTGGCTTTGAACGCTGGAATAAGCCCAGCTTTTCTTGCTTTGCACTATGAATAGCTTGCCTGTGCATTGAGGTTGGCAAACTCACCTTTGATTTTCAGGGAGCCTAAGCGTGAAAGAGTAACCAAGAGCAGGCTCCAGCTATCCTGCTGTTAAATTATCCCTTTCCCAGACTCGCCAGAGTGCACTGTGCCTAGCTGGAAGATTTTTTTTTTTTTCCCCCAAAACCTTTCTGATCTAGTGGCAAAGAACCTCTCCTAAATTAGTCTGAATTTATTAGTGCCGTCTGCCTCCTGTCACTGCTGTAGGTCCTGATCCACACAAGTTTGCAGGCACTCGGCTTCCACTGACGGCAGTGAGTACAGCCAGCACGAGTTAAGGTGTTCCTGTGGTTCCGGACTGAAGTAAATTGCTTTCTGAAGTTTCCCTGGGAATCACGATAACCAAGGCCAGCTAACGACTTCCTTAAAATTTGGTTTCATTTTATGAAGCTTTTTTATTTCCTCTGGGATGTGAAAAGTCTTTGGACATTCCCAAGACAAACCTGATGTAATTCATCAATTAGCTGAAAATGTCGCCTCTGAAATTAAAAGCAATTCTCTGTCCCAACTAGCTGCAGCGCCTTGGCTCGGATACTGTGCTGTAGTGAACAGCAGGAGTCTGGGTGGCAGGGATTAATTAGCTGCTTGGTACTGGCAGTTATTGCTAACTGGTGCTGGCTGGATTTGAAGTTGTCTAACATCCTGGGCCTCTTTTTATTTGCAGATCATGCCTTGAGTTTTAGAATTTCTGGCAAACCTGGCTACAGCAAAAGAAATGGTTAGCAGCGTCTGCGTTTGAAGATCCCTCAAAGTTCATCTTTTCTCAGACGTGGGTTCAAGCACGCCACAGCCAGTGAAAGGGCATGCGATGCTGCCTGGGGTTCTGAATGTTTGCTGCAACCTGTGTGCGCCAGTGTCGGTTTAAAAAAAAAAAAAAATCACAGTTCTGCTCCAGGTGTCCTTTCTGCTTTTGCTGTCCGCCTGTTGAAGAACCATAAGAGTTGTAATCGTGCCCTTCTCCTGGTCATCGCTGTTTTCACAGCCGTATTCTAAAGCACTGCTGTTTCAATCAGTGTTTTCTCTACCTGGTTAAGAAGGATTTAAAAAAAAAAAAAAAAACTAAATAAAGATGCCACCTATAAGAAGTCTGAAATGATTATGCTTGTGTATTTGTAGCACCCCAAGCAATATTAATTTTTAACCATTCTAGGATTTAAGACTTTTATTTGTGGATATGAGAACTGGGATGGTTTTTTACTTTAAACAATGAAAGGTAGAAGTCTTGCTGCTTGCCTCCATCCCCTTGTAGCACAAATCTACTGTGCTGCTAAAGCAGCAGCATCTGGTGAGACCAGGCTGTCAGTCGTAGTGTTCTGGCTCTTCGTCTTTTTCCAGCTAATGTGGGAAATCTGGAGAAGGCATTATGAGCATAAAATAGCTTTGCCTTTAGTCCTGTTTCTCCCATATTGTAGCGTAGCTCATAAACTGTAAGCACGTGTCTGAAAACACTTGTGCTTTTTATTAGTGATGAACAAAACGTGGCGCTCCTGGGGCGCGCGAGCCCCAAGCGATCCCTGGAGTGTCCCCTGCCGTTACCGGGCCGCGCCGATCGGGACGTGGTAAGGTGGCCGTTCGTGTCAGAAGGGTCTGTACTTGAACAAAGCTGCCTTGGCTGCTTCTCTGCAGTACAGGGGCTGTCCTTGAGCTTCCTCTTTCATCGTAAATGCTTAAAGAGATTCTGATATTTCAGATTATGGGGATAAGCAAGGACCGTGGTTGTTTTCCTCTACTTTTCTAGGTGCTTAACTGCTGCTTTATCTAATGCTGCTTTTGGGGAAGGAGTGGTGGGGATTAAGTGTAGTGGGAATGCTGCTTATCTGGACAAAATTTACTCATAGATTTTAAACACAGAGGGGAGGGTGAAAAATGGCTTTCCTGAAAATCTGAGAGGATTTGGCGTGGTTGTTAGGTTCCTTTTTCTAATAGCAGAAGAAAATTAATTTGTCAGTGGAGCTGGTTGCCATGGGAATGCAGGACGATAGCCGAGGCGCTGGGCTGCCTGCGTGGAGCCTCGTTACTGGATTCCAGTCCTCGCCTTCGCCCTCCTCCAAAGGCTCCCGTGCGGGTGAACCTGCGCCCACCAGCCCAGTGCCTGGGGCCCTGCCCATCTTTGCAGCCTTTGTGCTGAATTAAGGGTGGCTCCGACGGGCTGAGGAACTTGCCGCCCTTCAAACACAGAGGCCTTACAAGTGCTCAGCCTTATGCCGGGTGAATTATGTTGGGAAGCCAGCTCCTGGGCGGGCAGTGAGCTACGCTGGCTCCGCGCTAGATTTAGAGCACTGTTGACACCAAAACGTTTCCTCCATCAATAATAGTGAGAGGTAACGATGATCCTATAGAACTAATAGAGGGAAACACTGATATCTCTCCTCCAAAGGGCTCATAAGTTTGCAGCCATGACGCTACCGATTGCCTTCACAGGCTATATATACCGTCAGATGTGGTTTTTTCTTGGCGATTGTACTTCACATATACGCTCCACTTCACTAAGCAATTGTTGGCAAGGGCAGCGGCATGCAGTCCGTCAGCAGGGGCAGGATTGTGCTGGGAAGAGAGCAAGCTCGGGGGAGTTTACAGAAACTCTTCCTCTTTACCCGTAGTTTTAAAAGGTTGCTATAATTGAGCACTTAAAGGAAACAGCCTGTAGTTAAGAGACCTGGTAGTATTTACACAGCCAAACAAATGTCTTGAAACCTGCTGAAAGCTTGCCTGGAAATTCATCTTAATAATGGGAGAAGCACTGGATTATTCTGGTATTAATCTTTAACCTCTGCAGTGCAAGCCCAGCTTGGTTTTAGGAGAATTAAACCGAGAGGTTGGCTTATCCCTGCACTGAGTATTGTGGGAAGTAACAGACAGAGCACGTACGTTAACTGGTCACGATTGTTCGTGTTGTAGCCCTTTTCCTTTAAGCTGTTCTTGGCCTCAGATGCTTCCGAAGCCAACACGTGAGAGGGAATGGCCTGTGCTGCCAATTCCAGACTGCGGGCAGGAGCAGCCGGGTGGGAGCCTCGCACAAGCCATCGCATCGCTGTCTGGGGTCAGGCACTTAAAAAAAGGAAGGAAAAATTGCCAGGACTCTGCTGTGGAAAAGACAGCTTATCTGCTTCCTAAGTTACAGCTGGATCTGATGGCAGATGACTCAGACACTTAAGGAGAGACTTTTGAATAGGGAAATCTACCTTTTTCTCCTTTTTAGATCACAAGCAAGCTGGTACTTAAAAGGCTGCTGTTGCGCTATTGATGTACGGGTGTGATTCACGTAAAAGCTATTTATTTACATCAGAGACGTTCATCAAAAGAAGACGTGACAAGTACAGCATGAATGATTCATTCTCATCTCGCTGCGCTGCCTTCCTGTTAACCAAGGAACAGTTAGGTACGTCCAGCTGGGCTCTGCTTCCTTATCGCTTGCCGTGTCATCTTCTTCCCCCAAGCCTGCTCAGCCCGGCTCCTGGTGTCCCAGCTCCGCAGCATGCTCTTGCCGACCGTATCGATGATCCTGCTGGGCGGTGGAAGTCATGATGCTTGGTTTTCCATGAAGGAGAAGGGGCCGCAGCTATGCTGAACTCCCTGGGTAGGGTGTATTTTTCCTGTGGGGGAGAGGATGGAGAAACAGGCCTTCAACCCTTGGACTTTACTCCAAGATTGCAGATTCTAAACTCCAGGGCCATGCTTCCCCCGTTAGGAATATTTGGTGTTTGAAATCTTCTTCCAGAGCAAGGTCTTGAGGTTGTTCAGGATGAGGGAGTGGTGCACTTCCATCTGGCTGGCCAGGCCACTGAGGGTCATGCAAGTTCGGAGCTGTTTCTGCAGCTCTTCTTTCAGCTCCAGTGGTGCTCCGTACAGCAAGTAGTCCTGCAGCAACCCGCAGACCTTCGCCAGGTTGGGCTGCACCATGTCGCTTTTGCACTGCTTCATGAGTTTGTCGCACGTAGCCATACAGTCCTTCCCGTAGGTGCAGTCCACGTTCTGCTCACAGTGACGTCCCTTGAGGAAACCTCTGATTGTCATCTCCGTTGCCACCTTCCTCAGTTTGACCATTTTGAAGTCGTATTTGTCGTTGTAGCCCACGTTCTTAAAGCTGGTCTCGCAGATGTAGAAGTTCCCGTAGGTCCCGTGGAATATCTCCTCCACGAACTCCAGAAGGCCGATGGCGATCTTTGCCCGCCGGGGCCACGGTGGTGCAAACCACTGGTGGATGATTTGGTGGACGACTGAAGGCAGCAGCGACTGGAGGAAGGGGGGGACATCCACTCCGTAGAGGGAGGTGTGGGGGATCTTCTCAGTGACGTAGAGGTCCCCGCAGTGCCCCAGCAGCTTGGAAGTGTGCTCTTTCTCGTGCAAGGAGAGCATGAGAAGGAACTCATTGAGCTGAAGTAGCGCCCAGATGGATTTGGCCTCTGCTAAAGACACCTTCCCATCCCGGTTCACATCTGCCATGGTGATGATCCGGCTCACCAAGGCTGCAAGAGAAGGCTGGTCTCCCAGGTTGGACTGCGAACAGAACAAGAAGTGGCATCAGACCCTCGCAGCTCCCTGGGTTCAGGTTTCGTATGGCAAAACTGAACTGGGGAAGCAAAGAACCGAGCACGGGAGAGGAGGAAACACCCACAAATTTGGTACCATGCCATAGCGTACGGTTTGACAGATTCAGCTCCAGCAGAATTTTCCCAGCCTCAGGGCTGCTCTAGACCCAGAGGGGAGCAAGCTTTGGAGAGCAAAGGCTGGGCAGCGCTGCCGTCCCACCGCTGCAGCAGAAGCCCTGCGCAGGGGTAACGGCTGCAGCAGTGCCGGCACTGCCTGGGCTGCCCGTGGGCTTGAATAAGCTCTGCCCAGCACAGATGCCGCCCGCAGCCACGGCACAGCGGTCTCCAGGGTCACTGCTATTAAAATCTTGCAAATAAGAATTCCTGTGCGAGAATGGAGGGTTTTCTTGGCTAATCCAGCACTTGCTCTGCAGTACGTGGTCAGGAGCCCTGCCCGGCGCCCAGCAGCTGATGGGGGAGCGTGGGCCACAGGAGCTCTCGTTGAAGGGGAAGGAAAGAGGTGTTTAGTCTTTTCTGAATGGCAAGCGGCAGCCCAGGCCCACGAGATCGCGGAGGGACCCTCCGCACTGACCTTTAGGAAGTTCAGGAGCATTTCTTTGAATTCGTCCATCGATGTCCCTCGTGTCGGTTTGTCAAAGAGGACCACGTCCCTCCTGGGCACGGAGTCTGGGTGGCTGTCTGCCTTCAAGGCTTCTTCGATGCCGCATTTGATGATCACCTCCCTCTCCCTCCAGAGCCCACTGTAAACCTACAGCAAAGGAGAGGGGACACAGCGGAGACGGGAGGAAAACAACAGCGAGTGCAGAGAACTGGTTTCTGGCTCGGTTTGGGATGGGTACCAGGGATGGGGCGAGGAGCAGACGTGCGGGTGGGTGGAGGAGGACATCTCCCGGGTTTGATGCTCGCACCCATCCCCTGCCGCACGGTGGTTTCCCCGGAGGGCAGAGACCTACCTGCTGGGTGGGAGAGGAGGAGAGGCAGTGCTGGAAGAGGAGGCTGCGCTCCTCACACAGGTCTTTGCACGTGGAGCCAGAAATGATTCCTTTCTTGTACTGGTCGCACTGGGGAGGGGAAGGCAGAGAGAGGAGCTCAGCAGGGGCAGCTCCCTGTTTGCCCCAAGAAGTCTGACGGATTCGGGCTCGGTCCCACAGCCTGTGACCCCGGACACCCCAAGCACACGAGCTGGGGGTGTGCGAGCCCCCCCGGCCTCCTGCGCTGCCGCCAGCCCTGCGCCCGAGCTCCTCACCCCCCGTTCCTGCAGCAGGGCTGGGGCCAGCACTTTGGTTTTTCAATTGACCATGTGTACCTGCCACCATCACCGATGCCATCGCGTCCCTGGTGAGCCCCATTTCCTCTGAGTCTCTTATACAAGAGGAAAAACACCCCTTAAAAGAGGCACATCTGATTGCAAAGCCACGCAGGCTGTTTGGAGGCAAGAACAGTTTCTCCAATTGCCGACAATTTCTTTCCTGGAATTTTGAGGTTCTTGAGCACAGAGGGGCTGCTCGGGGTCACCACTGCACCATCACTTCGGCCTTGCGTTTGGCAGCCTGTGAGGTGCCACCAGCCACGGGGGACCCCAGCCAGGTGGCTTTGGGTGATGTCTGCATCTTGGCAGCCTTTTTCGGCCAGTTCAGGGTTGCTGGGAGGGAGGGGAATGCCTTGTGCTCAGATTTCCATCAGGGAGATGTAGTGCCAGTTGCTCGGAGTCCAGCCCCTTCCAGCACCCCCAAACTCCCCGCTCTCTGTCTTCCAAAGAAATCGCAGCCCAAAATCTTCTCTGCTGTAAGACCCAAAGATTTCTACTGGCCCCAGAGCAAAGACTTTAATGGGAGAGACACGGGGAGAGGAGTGTGGAGGCACACCTGGGGCTGAGCCCTGGCCAAAGGGGCAGCAGCTGTGGGCAGAGCTCCTGGCTGCAGGCAGGGCCCTTGGGATGGCTCTGTGCCCTGGGCAAGGTGGGGCTGGGCTGGCGGGGACCCCCCGTGCTGCTGGAGGGACCGCAGGGGATTTGCTCCCGGGGGCTCCTGCTGCAAGTCCAGGGGGTGAGGGGTGCTTCCAGGGCTGGGGGAGAGGACAGCGTGGGGCTGGGCGAGGATGAGGATGCATGGGCTCAGGCTGCTCAGCAGAGCGGCAGCCCCTGCTATGAAATGGGCTGGCCCTGGTCCAGGTGCGGGGACAGGGACAGACGGTGGCTCTCATCTGCAAGGTGGCTCTCATCTGCAAGCGGGGCGGCTGGGTCGGGAGCTGGAGGCATCCCTGGGCAGGAGAGGCTGCAGCTCTGCAGCTTCTCAGCCAGGGCACAACAGCCTCAGGGCTGCAAACAGGAGCTGCAGAAATTCACTGCATCTTTTCCGTCTTTTTTTTTCCCCGACGTGGATGGGAATTAACCCTTAGACCTGTTCACAGGGGACACGGCCAGGCGCAGCGTCTTAAACCCCAAGCTCAGAGCAGGAATTAGCGCCGAGACCCCATGGTCAGAGTCATGCAGAAAATCAAATTAAACGATCGTCACTGTTGTTATGGCAATTCCTGCCTCCCTGCTCTGCTGAAGGACTGATGAACGAGGCGTTTTCAGCCAGAGCCTGGCATCCCGCTCCTCACCTGGGCTGGGCGGGCGACCTGCTCCCTGCCTTGGGGCACCCGCAGCACTCCCGGGGGGGCCCCGCTTGGCTGCCGGCCCCGGGGATGCTGTGGTGAGCAGGCTGCACCCCACTGCAAACCCCAGGCAGGGGCAAAACACACCAAGCCAAGCTCCCATGAGAGGCCTGATCTTCATGCAGGCTGGTGCTTGCTTTAGGGCATGTCAGCGGGTACAGAGAGGTACCCGTGAACTGGCTGCTCCCCTTTTTTCTCTGGCTCTGCGGAGCTCGGGGGGGCTGGCGCAATGCTCTCCCTGCCCGCAGATCCTACTCTGACATTGCAACTTCATCTCCACAGATGTTAATCTGCCCACGTCTGCCTGGCCTGCCCTGCCCTGCTTCCCTCCGACATCTCATTAAATTGTTTCGCCATCGCCCTGGCGGGATAAGGTCACCTCTCCCGCTCCGAGCTCCGCCTGACGCCGGGGACGGTGCCAGGGAAGCGGCTGCCAGGAGGGCTCCTTGGCCCAGCTCTTGTGCAGGATGCTGCTCCAGCGCTGCCCGCCCGGCTGCAAAGCACCGCACAGGGCCTGGGGGGCTGGAAATGGGGCTCCCGCAGCCCCGCTCACCCCGGCACCCCGAACCGGGACCAGCGTGGCCGCAGGGGCTGCTGGCCACCACTCACGATTATCATCCGGCAGACGTGGCCGCGGCAGAGCTCGGAGTAGGACGAGTAATGCATGTATGCCACCCAGCTGCCCACGAAGATGCCGAGCCACACCACCAGCAGGTATTTCACCTTGATGCCCGGGAGGCGACTCTGGAAGGAAAAGAAAACGCTGGTGAAGGCCGGGGGCTCTGCACCAGTCGGCAGTGGCTGGACAAGGATGACTTCTTCTATACAGACCAACGTGAGCATTGGTGAAACCTTCAGCCTTTTTTATATATATTCACCCGTCTATTATGCAACTCCTGCTGCAAGTAGGTCACTTAAAATTCCCTAAAAGCAGGGAGATTACAGCGCTGGGCTGTGAAGAGCTGGCTGCCAGGCATCGCCGTGCCCGGGAGCCGCAGCCGCGTACGCCCGCTCTCCTGCCAGCGCCAGGGCAGAGCCCGCCGCCCTCTGCAACCCCGGGTTCACCCTCAGGGCTGCGAGAGGCTCTGCTCCTGCCTGGGGGGACCCTTCGCAGCAGACCCCCCCTTGCAAACTCCACGGGCACGGGAGGCTGCCGCTGCCAGCTCCCGCGGGGGAGCGGGCGAGTGACAAACCTGGAAGCGCGTGGATACTACTCTGTGCAAACACCTCGGAGGCTCGCAGCATGGTTTTCTTTCCCTGGCTTCATTTCTTCCCCTCTGCCCCTGTAACAGCAGCGCCGCTGCCATCTGGCCTCCCCGCAATCTAAGTTGTTTACCTGACCCGTGTAACACAGCGCAGATCCCCGGTGGTTCCTAAGGGCAGGGAATTAATCCTTGTGTCAAACACTCTGTTCCCTCCGGTTTCTATAGATAATTCCTGCTTCACGCCAGGCCAAGAGAGCCCTTGGCCAGTGGCCACCTCCAAACCCTCCTCTCTCAGCTGGGAAACCACGACCTGCTGCTGGGATGAGGCTGGAGCTGAGCGGATGCGGCACCGTTACAACCTGCCAGGGATCCTCGCTTGGGTCTTGTAGCCCAAAACCGCTCCCACCTCCAAAATGCCTCCTCCCTGGCCCCTCACCGAGCGCTGTAAGGGCTCTGCCCCGCAGCAGTAACCGGAGGCGGTGCAGCCTCCTGCCCTCCTGCTGCACCGGCTGCAGCCAGCGGCTCCCCCCCCCCCCCCCCCCCCTCACAGGAACGGGCAGGCGAGGGTGAGAGCAGGCAGGTCTGCCTCGAGATCACGATGTCTTGCATGTTAATTGGAAATGCTGAAGTGTGAAGTGGGCTGCAATGCCCGGTTTGCCCGTCCAGCAACGGCACCGCTCATGAGCGCCTGTTAAAGAGAACCCGACCACGGCAAAGGCTTGGCAAAGACAGAGGATGGGCGGCTGCTCCTGTGAGCTGAAAAACAGCTCAAGTCCCTGAAGTCAGACACCACTGCAACCCGTGAGATCCTCCCCAGCGCAGCAGCCCCCGAAAGCTGCCCAGAGGTGGGTATGCGACCTCAGCAGAGGGGCCCTTGCCATGGACTTCCCACTAGAGACACATCTTGGGGCGGCAAAGCCCTGGCATGGCCAAAATGTCCCTTTTTGCTTATTCAGACCTAGAATCCATCATGCTCCCAGGGCAGAAGCGGGTCAGGACTGCGACCTGAGCATGGCATGGGGAGCGCTGGCTTCATCATCCCCTAAATGGTGGAAAGAAACGTGGAGGTGGGGCATGCATTGCAACGAGAGGTTCCACTGGTAGTATTTTGGATTCACAGCTGGTGCTAAGGTTTCCTCGGGGGGCTCAGTCTCAAGGCACAGGGGCTGCCTTCCCTGCCTGCTGCCTTCCCTGCCTGCTGCCTTGGCTGGCAGCCTGCGCCAAAGGGGGTTACCCTTCGTTTGTGTTAGTTTTAGGGCGACTCTGGGGGACTTGGAGGTGACTTTGGGCCGGAGCTGACTTCAAAGGCAAAATGGACGCAGCGTGACAAAATCCTGCTCCATCCCCGCTGCTCCCCTGCAGCGCCCGGGGAATGCGGGGGTTGTTTCAGGGTGGGTGCCAGCGGTGGGTGCTCCCAGGGGCAGCTCGGCGTGGCTGTCACCTCCCCTCCGTGGGGTACCCGCACAGGCGATCCCGGTGCAAGGGCTACCCCCGGCTCCCACCCACCCCCGCTCTGCATTGGAAGAGGACAGCCTGCGCGGGCGGCTCAGCCGCCCAAGGCCCATCTCCCCTGGGAGCGGAGCCACAGCACCCATCCAGCTCTCGGCCGTCCTGGGGACCCGCACAGCCACCCCTCTGAACGCTCCCCTCAGCCGCGCAGCCCTTCCCACGCCCGGTGAGCCCAGGGCTTTGCCCCAGCACCCACCTCCCGCCAGCACCCTCTGTCCACCAGTTACCCTCTCCCGTGTCCCCCCTTCTCCCCTCCAGCGGGATAACCCCTGTGGTCCAGGACCTCCACCAGAGTCAGGGTTTCTCATGCCATGGATGCAGAGAAAACACCCAGGCCAGCATCCCCGGCGCTGAGAAGGTCCCCAGCCCCCCCGCTCCCCCCCGGCAGCTCA